ACGGCCACAATTGCTTGGAATTTGGCCACTCGAAAAGCCAATTGATACGCACTATATTCTCCCTCGATAAAACTGTAATAAACCCTGGATTGGAAGAGATTGTTGGAGTAAAATGCGATGTCGACGAGGAACCAGGAAGTGGCACAGCAGAAGAGGTCGCGGCCGTGGCGACGGAAGAATTGCTTAGAGAACAGGGAATACGTCGATGGAAACAACGGTATCGGTGCATCTTCCGAAATTTGATTGAGCGGAACGTTTAACACTGTTCCAATATCAACCGCTGCCTGCAGAGGATCTCTCTCCACTAGTGCCGTAAACCTGTTGATTAATTGAAGTTTTCAACGAAAGCCAAAAGGATTAAAATAGCTTTGTTTTCCAACTAAATAAGATTAAGAATAGAGATTTCAATTTTTTTTTTACTATTAATGTTTCCATTGTACAGACCAAAAGAATGATGCTTTTTTTTTAGTAATAATCCTTAAATAATTAAAATCAGATGCTCTATATCTGGATATGCTCTCCAGTGGACTTTCAAAGATTAAAAAAAAAAAACAAAACAAAACAAAGTTGTTAGACGATGCTGAAACTGTTTGACAATTTTTTTTATTATAAATACATTTTTTCCTCAAATTTATTTTTTAATATAAAAAATGATAATTTTATAATCATAATATAATGAAATATCATATTAAATTGTATGTATATTATATAATAATATTATGTTATACAATTATAAATATAACACTACATGTGCGTGTGATAATAACTGTATTATTTTTATATTTTGAGTAATTATAAAAAGATATTTTTAAAAAATTATAGTCAACAAGGTTAAACGTGGCTTAAAGTTCTGTACAATAGAAAAAGACATAGCTTAAAGTCATTTACACATTTTCTTTATTTGTTGGTTCAAAACTAAGGCAGCGGATGTCTGACCAATAGAAAGGAAACAGGTAGTAAATTTAAAAAATGAAAGAAAAGAAATGATATACCTAGCAGTTTCCGGCATCAACGTCCGCCAATAGTAAGTCAATGCAGCCGGAACGCCGCCCATCATCAGAATCAACCGCCACGAGATGTCGGAAGTGTTCGGTGCGTCAATTTTTGACCCATGCGATGCTTTCTGAAATATGGAGCAAATCACCATTGTCACAGCCGAGCTCGCCAAAATCCCAAACCCCTGCATCGAAAACACTGCTGCTATGAACGCTCCACGGGTGTTCTTGTTGGCAAACTCCGACATGATTGTTGCCGACAGCGGGTAGTCCCCGCCTATACCCAACCCAAGCAAGAACCGGAAGAACCCCAGACTCAACAAGATACAAGTTCTTGTCCTGCAAACAGAGAACCCGCATGCAAGAGAACTAAGAACCATGATCATCAGCGACAGTCCATATACACGGCGCCGCCCTTTGTAATCACCAAGGATTCCAAACACGAGTTGACCGATCACTGTGCCTACAAGGGCGATGGCAACCAAGGCGGAGATGACTTGAATGGGGACTTCTTTTTTGTCATCTTT